ACTGGAACTAAAACTGGGACGACTGGAACGAGGGGGACAGCGCCTGGGACTGCGACTGGGACTACGACTGTGCGACTCTTTTGAAAACAAAAGTAAAGTGTTTGGGGCCCGTGGCGTGGGCCGTGCTGCCCCTGCTCTCCGCTGTGCCACATATGTATGTATAGGAGAACAACGATCTACCGCTGCCTTCCACGCTGACTCACACACGCGAGAGACAGGGCTTAGCGCCAGCTTCCAGCTCCCAGGGCTTGGCTTGGGTTATTCACTGGGATCTATCACAGATGCCAGCTTTGTTCTATTTCTTTCTTTCTGTTGGACTTGGGAAACATTAATTCAAATGCGATTGCGACTGCGACTGACACTGCCACTGCATAGGGCATTCAGCATTCGTGGGGAGACCATTCAAGCGATCGTTATAGCTCCTGTCTGTCTGTCTGTCTGTCTGTCTATTAGGGTCCTCAGCAGTCGCACAACAAAGTAGTCACGAATTAGCGCAGTTCACATGGGATAGGAGTGGGAGCACAGGGCACAGCGCGGGGGTATTGTAGGGTTGGGTTTTTGGGGGCGGCAGCAGCAGACACATATGGCTAAGAATATGCAAGCGACAGTATCACAGCTGTTGACGCAAGCACACACAGTACACAGCACACAAGAGACGCATTCTGTTGCAACATATGGGAGCCTGGAGCGGCACGGCAGTTCGTTGCCTAAGTCTTTTGTTTCGCTGACGCATGAGCGAATGCTAAGAGAGCTCGAGAGCTGCTGTCGAGAGCTGTCTGCATGTCCGGACTGATTTATGCGCCTGACCGCGCAGCACCACCTACGCACTCGCACTCGCACTCGCACTAGCATTTCCATTCCATTTCCCTGCTCAAGAGCTCAAGAGGTGGAGAGTGGATGTTTCTAGTTATCAACTGATAAGTTGCTTATGTAATGGTCCACGAAAAATGGGTTAAAAGTCGCTCTGACAGTTTAATTTGACACTTTTCTCTTTGCCCTCTCTCTCACTCACACTCTCATTTATCCTCTGTCTTTTCTCTCTCTCTCTCTCTCTCTCTCTCGCTGTCTCTTCGTTGTTTGAGTGCCGGACGGACATGGGATGACAGAGTGCTTTTTGTTTTGGTATTTTCTTTCATATTTGCTTAACAAGATCTTGTGTATTGAATTGTCATTTCTCTTGACAATTTAATTTGGATTATGCGGAGGCTACTGAACACCGGACAACACCCGGTACCATGTCCCCACGTTCCAGCTGAAAACCCAAGTGCAAGTCAGATAAAAGAAAAGATTTAAAATGCAGGAAAATGGAACTTGTATTAACGACTTGAGTACACCCTAGCAGATGCTGCTTAGAGTCATAGAAAAGGAATATCTGAGAGAATGAAATTACTAGAGTTTCAGGGATTTAACGCACAAGTACCCAACATTTATGATTCATTTATGAAAATAAGTATAAATAATTTAAAAGAAATGCTACCTCTTTGGAGCGAGTGTCCAAAAATTCTAGTTATATTAAAATAACTCAAATAATATTAAAAAGAATTTATTTTTTAATCAGAAAAGTCGCTTACGGCTCATAAACTGAAAAAACTTTACTGATTTATATTTTAAACTTAATTTATTTTATAAAAAAATCAAAGTAGCGTAAATCTCATATCATCAGAATTACTAATGCACTCCGAAAAATTTGATTTAACATTAAAAGAATTTATTAACCATAGAAAAATGTCACAGAAAAATACTGTATGCAGGGTTTCTGCATTCGGTGATTGACAATAACTCAGAAAAGGGTATAGAAAATGATTGCGACTTTAACTGTGACTTTGCGGCTGACTTTTGCCTGTGGCTTGTGGGGCTCGGACACGTTTTGGGCCAACTGGCCATTAAAACAAAAGGCTTTTGGTTACTCAAAAAACGCAGATGCAGACGCAGACGCAGACGCAAAACGCATCGAAGAAGAGTTACCGTCACCGTCAATGGCACCGTCAGCAGCCAGCAGGCAGAGCCAAGAGCCGAGAGCCGAAAGCCGAAGATTATTAATGGCCCGGCCTCCGCCTGCATTTCCGTCTTGACCCAGGTTATGCAAAATGTTTGCCAAAAGGCCAAACGAAAGCGCTCGAAAAGTAGAAATGTTTGGCTAACAAATGATTGCAATTTTCTCAGCCAGGCAGCAGGGGCAGCCGCCGTCTCTCGGTGGCAGCAACAAGTGCGTGGCAGCATTAACTCAAAATGAAAATGAAGAGGAAAAATCATTAATTGAAAATGCGCATGCGCATCAGACACAAACGAACATTGAATTGGTTGTTGAAGAGGGGAGCGGGGCAGGTTCACTTTCCACTGTTGAATGCATGTTAAAACTGGTCGAAAACTGTTAAATGTGGCAGTGTGGCAGTCAGTGTGTTGCTCTTGCTCTGGCTGTTGCGGAAGCCCTGTTAAAATTGTAGCAGACATTGTCTTTATGTGCTTTCTTGTGATTTTATCGCATCATCAATGTTGGTGCTGTGCTGTGCTGCCTGTTGCATAAACTTATTGATTTGCCATGCTCGCTGCTGCTGCTGCTGCCGCATATAAACAAATCAACTGCTGCTCTTGCGGCTGCTGCTGCATGCCCCAAACAACAATTTCATAAATCAATTTTACACACAAAATTTGCTGTTGTCTTGCTGTTTGCCCCTGCCTGCCGGCCTGCTGCTGCTGCTGCCTGCCTGCCTGCTGCTGCCTGCCTGCCTGCCCACAGTGCGTATGATCAAAACATAGCTGGCACATGTAAATTTGATTAAAAGCACGTTTTACCACAAAAATTCAGCTAACAGCAAACCACAAAATGAAGTGCTAACAAGAAAGATAAACTTTCTTTTGTGTGCCGAAGATTTACATACACTTGCAGGCGATTTGAATGCAATTTGTGGCAAACGATTGTAATATTGATTTGAGATTTTATATTATAGTTGCGTCTGTGGAGCGATGCTTGTGAGATCCAATAATCCACATACCACATCTTCCAAGGGTATACAAGTGCATTTCTGGCCTATTGCTAATTTCCCTCGTGTCTGGGCCAGCCAGCAGATGCCGCCTTCATTTGTGATACAAATGAAAGTAAAAGTACTACAAACACTCGCACACTTCATAGATCATTAGCGGTCGGTCGGTCGGTTGGTTGGTTGGTTGGTCGGTTGGTCGGTGCGTGGCTGAGCGGCTCTCTGAGCGTTCAATGAACCGGCAGGCACCCAGACACTCTTGGCACTCTTGGCACTTGGTACAACGACGACGACGAATGCCCATGTACAAGTCATTAAAATAGAAATGCCAGGCTATACACACAACAAAAAAAAAAAACTTGTTCTTTCACTTTCAATGTCACGCCAGGCCGCACAAAAGACCTTCAACTTTGAGGCCCCCCAAACCATCGATGGGGTGGGGAGAGAAGGTGTTCACTTGGGCACGGGCACTGCTTCTTCCGCTTCGAAATTAATTGCGGCATAAACCAAACATTTTGCGAGTCAATGTACGTAATTTGAAAATCGTGCCAAAATAGATGCCCCAGCTCAGAGCTCAGAGCTCAGAGTTGGAGTCGAAGTCGAAGTCGAAGTCAGAGCCAAAACTCAATTTGCACAACTGCAGGTGCCTCGAGAGGGAACCGAACTGAGAGACAGACACCCCCGCAAAAATATGCCTCGTATGTTTGTATGTATATATCCATCTGTCTGTCTGTCCGAACTTCTGGCCGAGGCTGTGGTCCCCGGTCCCGGCTTGTTGCTCTCCGCTGCAGTCATTTGTCTGCATGTCGCTTTGTTGAATTGTCTATTTGTTTGCCAAAAAGTGCCATGAAGACAACATTGTTGCTGCTCTCTAGCTGTGATTGTACACACTAGCAAAAGGTATTTGGATTTTGGGCAAACTTCAAAATATCTCCAACTGATTCTCTCTTGAAACCCTACTGCATCGGGTGTATTTTGTTTTGCTGCCCATGGTAACACATCTATCTGCAAGTGTATCCAAGGATAGACTTTCTTTTTGACTTTTTGACTTGCCAAAAGCAATTTCATTTGTTGCTGCTGCTGCTGCTGTGGCGGCGGTGGAGTCAACAACAAATTACTATCATTGCTGTTAATAGTTCATTAAGTCACGGATGGGGACGGACGGGCAGACATGGAAGCCATATGGAATCATGGAATATCACGGAACGTGTAGCCGTAAAGTGCACCTCGAAGACTCGACACAAGCCACCGACCGAGTCCGATCGGAGCCTCTCACAAGTGGCAGAATAATTGAGTGAACGGCAAGATAAACATTTCAATTTTGGTTATTAAGTCATCAATTAGACAAACAGAAATCAAACTCGAGGGTTCGTAGGGGCTGGCTTTGATTTTTGGTTGTCTTTTAGGGGTGAGTGGATTTATCGCTGGGAATTGGCTGGAATTAAACGGATTGACTGCAGTCCGCGACTGAGTTTTGAAATCGAATCGAAGCTGAGACCAATGCCGATGCATTCAAACGTTGAAATTATTATAAACTTCTTTATTTCTGGTATGGCCATCAAGTCGTTGGGTTGGAGGCATTATACAAATTTAATTATTTCATTGCTGGTCATCAACAATTTTACAATATTTTTCTATGCTTAAAAATGGGCAAAATATTGTAAAAATAACATAAAGAAAAAGTTTCATTGGTGAAAATAAATAAATGCTGTTAGTAAATTTAGTTATTATCATTTTGGAACCCCATTCGAGTATCTTTTTATACGGCTTATAAAATATTTATTACAATCTATGCCTAACTAATCTGAGGATTTTTAGGAGTAAGGAAATTGCTGGCAAATAAATACAAACATTTTATGGTATATTTTTTTGTTAATATTTTTCGCCAGGCAACAATTATAATATATTTAATATTATATACCAGAGATGGGTTAACATATGTGGCAGTAGATTTTACGACTTATTTCCAGTTGCTTATAAGTAGATAACAGCTAGTATAATATTCTGAGATATAAACAAGCTTGTACTTACGTTATTAGACAGACATTAGACAGATCCTTTTGTATCTCAGCATCTGATAAAACACTAAATAAAGCTTAAAATTTACTGGGCTGCATAACATATACAATTAATATGCCGAAAGAATATATGCATGCACCCTTTCAATTCAACACAAACTCATTCGAGCAGATGTCGCACCTTTCGTGTGTTGGTGTGGACTTTGGTGCACTTGCAGCCACTGCAGTCGATGGCTTGTTTTCCTTGCCTTTGGAGCAGCCATAGTCCTTGCGCATGACCCATGGCGAAGTTCGCCTCGAGTTCAGCAGAGAGGCGGTGTAGGTATGCCGCCCGGGACTGCAGGATCGAAGGGAGTGGAGAGTGGCCGTGGATCCGCGCAGCAGTTCCAAGCTGGCCAGAGCCGCCTCTAGGGCGGCATCTTCGTACTCCGCCATCACAACCTGGTCGGGCGTCAGGGACTTCGTGCTGGGTGTGTTGAGTTTGCTCATGGGCCGAACTACCACGTCCAGGCTGCTGTCCGATGACTTGGCCGTCGATGCACGGGTGGGCGGAGGTGACGGCGTTTGCATCTTTGCTGTGGGAGGAGAGTGCTTCCTTGGACTGGAAGGTGACTGCATCTTTGGGGTGGAAGGGGAGTGCCTCCTCGAAATGGTCGGTGACTCCATTCTCGGATCAGATGGTGACTGCGTCCTTGTAGTGGCAGGTGAATGCGTTCTCGTTGCAGAAGGTGACAGCATTCGCGGACTGGTGGGTGAGTGGATCTTCCGACTGGAAGTTGTTCGCATCTTCGGTGTGAACGGTGACTTCCAAGTGGAGGTTGGCTGCATCTTTGGAGGGGAAGCTGCTTCTGTGGGTGAATCTTTTCTGTGATGTGTCTGAGGCAGCGAGGGTTTCCCCTGGTTCAGTGGAAGACCTCGAATTGAAGAACCATCTTCCGTGGGACTTGGACTGAGATCGGTAGGTGTCTCCTCCAGGGGTGTGGAAATCTGTAATACTCTCAAGTTCTTCTGTGGCTGCTCGTGTGGCTCCTCCATGGGTAATGGCATCTGAGCTGTATTCCCCTCCTGGCTGGGATGTCTCCTTTCTTTTGCGTGGACTGGCCTTCTTGGCGGATCCTCAGCTCTGTGCAAAGGTTCGCTCGAAGGAATTCTTCTTGCACCTTGCACCTTTCTGGGTGTCACCGAGGATGTTTGCTTTTCTACTCGGATACTCCTCGTTTGAGATACAGGTCGGACAGCCCGACGAATGCCATAGGGATTTTTGTACTCCGTGGAAGCTCGCAGCACGCTCTGGGTGCTCATGCCCGTGCTCATCCTCCTGCCATGTCCAGTCGTAGGGGGCTCCTCTTCGGCCACGGCAGCGTGCTTGCCCCAGAGGGACATCCGCTCCGCGGGAGCCCGCTTGATGGCCGAGCCCACGCGGCTGCGACTTCCGCTCATGGCCTCAAAAACACTGATGCGATCGCGTGTCGGATTGAAGTCGAAGGTCCTCGAGCTGCCGGCATTCGAGATCCGTGAGCTGGCCCTGGACACACTCGCCGGCCCCTCGGACGCCACAAATTTGGCAAACTCCCTCTGCCCCTTGCGGCTCATGGCCGGCGTCACGTGGCCGCTGGAGAGATCCGACTGGGAGGTGCTGGACAGCGAGTTGCCGCCACTAAAGTGTCCGTCGGTGTGGCCGGGCTTGTCCCGCAGGCTCGTGTGGTCCTTGTACACGGAGAAATGATTCTGGCTGTGGACAAAGCTTTCGTAGGGCTTAAACTTTTTGTTTTTGGCCAGCTGATCGGCAAACTTTTCCCACTCGGTGGTGTTTGGGCGGGGTGGCCATGGCTCCTCTTTCGCAACACTCCGCCGAAACCACTGTCCTCTAGAGGTGGTGTCAGGACGGTTACCGGGGGGTGAGTATGTGTGGGCGTGTTAGTAAGGGATTGTCAATGTCAATATTCTTTTTGTATTTTTTTTGTGTGTTGTGGGGGTGTTTGATATGTCTATATATAGGATAGATGTGGGTGTCGGTGTACGGTTAACTCTTGCGAAAATAACAGCAAGAAGATATAGGTATATATACATATATATATATAGAAGAAATCAGCCCTAAGCACACGATAAAACTTTTTTAAAAATTCAAAAACCGTATTTTGATGACTTTGCGCACTTTAATAATTTCTACTCGGAATTCGCTGCTTTAATATTGTAAAGACTTTAAGGCTGCTAAGAGAATTGTATAAACTTTCATAGGATTTTTATTTCGTGTCTATACAATGGCTCTACCGGAAGATATATTGACTCAAAGTTGAAGTATTCAAATATTTTTATTTGCCCATTTTTTTAAATTTGATTTGTATGCTATAGTTTAATATTTGTATGTTAGTTATTAAGTGGCATTATTTGGCAATATTTTAATTCTAGTGTAACTAGCATAAAGCATTTTCCGGACAGTAAATAAAATATTTGAAGCTAATAAATTGGAGAGATATTCTGCAGGACATTTCGCAGGAGCATTTTTCATTCGGTTAACCGAATCGACAACCGATTGAAGTGTTTTATATTGAATATTATTTGGATAGGAGAATATTATTACCACACTACTACGTACAAGACTTTGCTGTTGCGGTTCTTGTTAGTTTGGATTTTTGCTTGGGTTGGCAATCGCAAGGAAACAAAGTCAGAGTATTATGATTATGTACATAGAAATAAAATAAGTTTATTTACAAATTTACATACAAGTCAAGAGAGGAGAAAGAAGAGAGCAATATGTTGGTTAAGATATAATAATAATAATAATAATATATAATGTAGGCTATGCTATAAGTACTAGAAGATCGGGTATACTACGACGAGAACTACGAATCATAAGCAAAACGGTACTGGTACGGGTACGGGTACTTCAGAGTGCAGTGGCTCTACGGGGGAGTACGTGGTTTGCTATGCGATGCGGCAGGTGCTCTCTCTCTAGGCTTACTTACTCCACGGACGCAGCGGGGGCTGGAGCTGCTGGCGCTTCGATGGCAGCAGGTGCGGCCATCGCTTCTGCTACAGCAGGTGGAGCAGCAGGAGGCTGGGCATCGGACACCGATGCCACCTCAGCACTCAAGTGGGCCAACTCCTCCAGCGATGGCTGTGGCGTGGGCGGACTCTCCTCATCGTTGGCCAGGGCACGCTCGATCTCCGGCTCTGGGGTGGATGTCTTCAGGCTGTCCGCATCTTCCTGCAGCTGTGGCGTTGGGGCCCGAGATGAGCTCAGCTCGGCCATGACCTCGCCAGACTCCGCCGCCGCCGCCGCCGTCGTCGCCTCTTCTGCCTGGGCGGGCTGCTCCAGGTGCAGGCCCTCCATTACCTTGTGCTTGGCCTCGTCGAGGACGTGGGTGCCCTCCTTGAAGGCGTTACCCAGATCGTTGGTAATACCCGCCACGGCCGCGCCCACCGTCTCCTTGGCCGTGTCCAGGCCCGTGGTCAGCGTCTGAGTGGCATCTGAAAGGTGGGAGAACACTTTCATTTGCCATTTCCTGTTAGCATACTCGTATATGCACGAGTATGTACACACATATAGTATTGTATGCATATATACATATAATATTTTTAAGTCAATTTTTTGCTCTAATTCACTGACGGGCATGGCACGCTGCCGGTCACGCAACCAGCTCGTTTTTCTTCATATGCTTTTAATATACTACGAGCGTAGACCCTCCCCATAGACCCTCGCATATAAATATGGTAGCGTCGGTAGCGAGTAATGGCCACTAAGCAGGCCGAAAGGCACTGCGACACGCATTGCTGGCCTGGCCAATTGTCCTTTATTACGTGGCTTGTTATTATAATAATATAAAAAGTAATAAGAGCACAGGATACACTGGGGAAAAATCAGAAGCAAAACTCTCGGGGGTGACTTAAAATCAGGGTCAGAATGTATTAAACCAATTTCTGCTGGTACTCTGAAGAATATGCCCTTGTGGGCCGATCTCCTCCCAACGAGTTCCTTAAGGTTTTCTCTTTTCTGCTCACATGATTCGCTTTAGATTTCAAATGTAAACTTTAGCCATTTTTTTATTGCAGTGTAGCTCTGAATTTATTTGTGAATTAATTGCGAATCCATTCGTTTTGCCAGTAATTAATTAGCTGGAAATAATATTGATTCACATGCGGAAACGTGGACGTTCCAAGGACACGATCGCTCATTCCCCAAACATACACACACACACACACACACTGCATGTCACCATGTCCCATATCCTTTATGTGAATATTAAGTATACGCCCCATGGGTGGTCTTGGGATTGCCTTCAAAGGCACTTTAGTTGCCATTTCGATTACGGACTTGTAAATGTCATCTGCCAGCCCCAAAACACAACCATAGAAAGACAGGGCCACACACACACACACACACAGAAATGTCTGTCCACATACCTTCTACGACGGCCTCGCCCTTCTCCCGGACATGGGTGGCGGCTTTCAGCATTTCGCTGCCCGCCGTTGCAACCATGGGAGTGCTGCTGGCACAGCCCATGACTCCTGTGGGGCGGCTGCTCAATGCTGCTGCTGTCGCTGTCGCTGCAGTTGCGGTTGCTTCATGCTGATCGAAGACCAAATCCCCGTATCGTATCGTTAGGGGAATGTGTAGATAGATAGATAGATACTCGCTCGTACTCGTATCGATATATGTAGAACGGCCACGGCAATGGCAGATTTATTAAATATGAATGTGAATGGGAAAAAAAGTACGCCCGCCTTTGGTCACGAACTCCACGCAACTGAACACTGACCCAAAACATTTGCTGCTAAAGTGAAGGGTCAGTACAGGCACTCCAGGTATGCCCCATGCCTCATTTGCCATTTTGCTGGGGGCACGCAACAGGACCGAGCCGTGGCTGGCCAAGTGTTTGCATGTGCGTTTGCACTTGGCTTCAAGTGAAGCCAAATTGTTGAGGTCATGCGCGTTGGGCGCACACTTACCCACGACCCGTAGTTATAGGCCAAATGCTAAAAGGGTTCTAGGTCTGCAAACGGCAAGGCAAAAAAAAAAATAATAAAAAGAGTGAGAGTAACGAAAGCAGGCAAAAGTGAAAATAGAATAAAATAAAATCTGGCAACAGAAGCCTTGGATAAGGCTTCAATCCAAGCCTTGATCTTTGGCAGAGAATTATGTATAAATATCCCGATGTTTCCCCTTAAGAAACTAAGCGACAGAATAATGGAAAACAGATGCAAATTGTATCTTTTTGGTCCCACTCTAGGCATAGAGTATACTCGTAAAAAGGAGACTACACGAAACACATACTCGTGCACATGTCTATAGGACATGTAGCGTGTCCAGGCGTGGCGTGCCTTCGATTCCACACCTCCATATGCAGCGGGTGGGGTGGGGTGTAAGTGTGTGTTTGTGTTTTTGTTGGGTTGGTCAATAACGTCAGGCGGCACTCAGTTATTATTTATAGAACATTGTGCGATGTCCAATTGTTGCTCCAATTTCCACACACATAAGCCCCACCACTTTTTGTGCCCCACGTGCCACATGAATGAAGTGAAACGTCCGGCTGGGTTGACAGTACCACAAAATCAGATAAGAGAACACATTGTATGATATGGATTCGGTACGAGTACCGCCGAATATATGGTACGTAAACAATCTAAATCTATTCTCTAAAATGCAAATTTATTTGTGCCAGTTAGGGACTTAGGGACAGTGGGCCAAGACCCACACGGCACTGCGCGCACCTCATGGCTCCTCCCGAGATGTTCGCTACAAATGACAGCTAACATTGGCCACATCTCTGGTGGAGGTTTTTTTTTCGGTTCTTTTTGTCGGTCGCTAAATTTACGAAAATTGATTTTTGATTTATTTCAGAGTTTTGGGGTATCGGCTTTCGCGAGAGATCTGCAGGCGATTGGCTGGCTGTTGGCTGGCAGTTGGCTGTTGGCTCTTGGGGCGCTGAGTGAGTGCCTATTTATGATCTGTGATTTATGTCAGTCAGCGCGCAGTGACAGCGCTTTTCATGAGCCAATAAAGTTGTCCATGTCGCTTTGTCATATTCATATATCATTGGCAATACTCGTACACCCGGCAACTTATGTCACATGGTACCTACCCCAAGTCAAAAACTGGAGTACTCTGGAGTACTCATACAGAGAGCAGAGAGCCGAGCCGAGCCGAGTCGAGCCGAGCCTCTGAGCATGAATGAAGTTTAAGTGCGCGATCGAAGCGCCCGTGAGGCGACGTTGACGTTGACGGTGACAAAACACAATTTGGGCCTGGGCCTGGGCACAACACACAAGCAAATAAACACGAAAAGTCGCATATAAATCAGCATACACCACACGCAGCTGCTCCGCGGATAGCCTGGCTGGGATCTTGGGAGTTGGTTCATTAGACTCTCGACCTGGCTCTGGCTCTGGCTCTGACTCTGACTGGTGCTGCTGCCATTTGGCTTGACATTAATTACATAAGCTAAGCGGTGCTTAATTATGTGCTCAACAATAGACCAAAAGTGCTCAAAGACTCTACTCTACTCGACCTGGCTCTCACATGATGTAATGCCGCCTCTACCCTATGCGAAAGTTTCGCCTCTTGATGTACATGGAATGCGGCACATTGCTACAGGGAACTTTAGCTTGATCATACAGTTGGGTATTGACAATATAAATGTATCAAATATCAGACAAAATAGTCGAACATTTTCGTAGATCAAATTGATGATCACTGAATGATCAAAGCTTCACAGTTGCTGCCATTAAATTTAGCTAGAAAGTCTGCCTACCTCCTATTAATCTCAGGGTATTGCCATCTTCGATCTTTTCCTCTGCCTTAAGGCTTCAGCAATATTGTTTCGGTGTTCACTTTCGATTCAGGCAAGAATAATGGCAACTATGAGACAGGTAAACAGCATACATACGAGCTGATGGAGAGACGGGGGAGGACGGACAGCTTCCTTTTGGCAATTTGTATGGGGCTTTGTCTCTGGCGACAGCTTCCTCAAACATGCTTTTGAACTTGGCTGAAAGAGGGAGTACGAGTTGGAGTTGAAGTTGAAGTTGGATCTGGGGGGGGAATCTATTGCACAAGGTGCTGCTGGTGTCTGTGTGTGGAGACCACCTTGGGCATAAATTGTAATTATGCCTGCCACTGTGGCAAACAATAAATCTCCAGCGTATTTATCGTGCAACATGACAGAAGTGGGTCGTATCCAAAAGCCCAAGCCCAAGCCCAGAGATTTTTTGTTCCTTTTTTTGTTTTGTTTTTTTTTTTTTTGCATACGACAACTGAAACGCCGAAAAACATTTACCATATTTACTTGCAACAATAACACGGCAGTCAAAAGCATTTTAAATGCAGTTATGACTAAATGCAAAAGTTATTTTGATATTTTGAATGCTGTTTTTTGTTGCTGGTGCTGTTGCTGTTGCTGTTGCTGATGGTGGGGCAGCTCCCAGTGTCGCTTAAAATTGTACGCATACTCTGCGCTCTCTGGAAACATGAAAAGTTACTTAGAGTTGCGCGGGGCCTTTAATTAAAAGCGACAGGTTTCGAGACATTTTACTTTGATATACAGCAGATACACAGCCGCACTCTGCCACAGATACAGCAACAGCAACAGATACAGATACGTTCCGTTGTTGTTTGCATTGGATGTTGCAGTTGCAGTTGCAGTTATTGTAATTACATATGGCAATGTCCAGAGCCGCACCCATATCGAAGACCCCAAGACCGACCGCTGACCCACATTTCGAGTGCCAGCAGCCAAAGCTTTTTGTTTTGTTTTGGACTTTGAAGATGCAAATGGAACCGCATCGCTCTGCATCCATCGCTTTTGCCCCCGCGATCGCGACGGTGGCGACGTTGGCGCCAAATTTATGTAATCAAAACCAACCCAAATGGTTGGGATGCGATGCGATGCGATGCGATGCCATGGCATTCAATGAAATTGCCAGCTTGGATTTGGCTTTGGCTTTGGCTCTGATGATGTCAGCATCATCATCATCATTATCATCATCATCGTCATCAACGGTGGAGTGTTTCAGGCGGAGACAGCAACCCAAAACCTAGACAAAAAGGTTATCAATATCTCAAGATCTTTTGTAAAAGTTGGCAAATTTCACTCGTAATGCAATCGCACGCAATGTCCTCCTCCTCCACCTCATCCTACTGCTACTCCCCCGCAGAGCAGGCCTAAGCCCAAGGGAAAGCCAGGAAAGAGCTGCAAACTAGAAATCATTTCCAATCTCTTTAATTTTTTTTTATTTAATTATAGATATGTGTGTGTGTTATGTGGCATGCCCCATCCATGAAACATAAATCATATTGACACTTGGACTTAATTAAAAAAAAAAAAGAAACAACCTACGAGCCGCAGTTCTAGACTGAATTTATTTTGTAGAAAAATCATAAATCAATGGCAGCGCGAAAGCCAACTAATAAAATTCAATTTGTAATCAGAACCTCGCCTGCAACGCCCTTACCGAAATGAAATGGCCAAGAATATGTGGAGATGGAAGATGGAAGCCAAGAACACATTGAAGCGACGTAGACCCATCGTCTCTTCAATCAGCCACAAAATACCGCAAGAGTTAGAGAGAGAGAGAGAGAGAGGGAGGAGACCAGCGAAGAAATGTTTTTTGGTGCCGTAGAGAGAGGGGCGGTCATGGCTCTGACTTCTAAGAATGCAGCTGGTTCCCCTCCGAGCGAGTTTCAGTGCCAGCCCGTCTTTTTTGAGCCCATAAAAATGAATATGCCAGGCGGCTGTCAGTGAGCCGGTGCCGGTGCCGGTGCTCAGTGCCAGAGTGCCAGAGTGCCGCCTGGCTCCTCAGACGGCTACTCAACGGAGTCTCAGTGTAAAAAAAAACAACATCTTAGCGATCGCGACCGGGTTGGAGTGTTGGCTTTTTGGAGTGACGTTTTGGGTTTGGCATCGAGCGAAGAACAAAGTCAGCGCCAAAGTGCCCCATGGGCCTAGAGAGGGTCTCTCGGGCAACTTGCTGTCCCATCGCCATAACCAAATCGGAGCGTGAGAGCTGAGAATACACCAACAACAAAAATGAGTTTCGTGATTTGTCGTTTGTATAACATATGATTATGGGGTATATAATGGTGAACATTCTTTGGGGAAACAAAATGAAAGATTTCCTATACTAATTCTGATTATATTTAAAAAAAAAAAGTCTGCCTAATATTTAGAGAAAAAATGTATGGAAAATAAAATGAACTAATGAAGAATCTTCTTTTAGAAATGACTTACGAACTTGTCAGCTACAAATGACTAATAAAAAAAATCCCATAAAATATTCCCATAGCCCATATTACACTCGAGAGGTTTACCCTGTCACTTGTCCATCTCTAGCCAGTGCGGACTTCAGATCCATGACGATCCTCCACTCTCCACACTCCGCACTCTGTTCCATTTCATTTTGGTTGAATCCATTTGGCCCCGCGATGTTTTGGCCCGCTTTGTTTGCGCCGTTAACCTTGGGGGCACAGCAGCCGACCGCGACCGACAAGAAGTAAACGACGCAACCGAAACAAGACAAAGCAAAATGGGAATCAAAAGAAATACCAGAGAGAGAGAGAGAGAGAAGAGGCCAAAGAAGAAGAAGGAAAAGAAGATTTGCATGCCGCCAAGAGGAAGAGTAGGAGTCGTCATCGCTGCTGAAGCTGGAAAAATCAAGTGCCAGTGAGTGTGATTGACGTCACAGAGTTTTCTTTTCTTTTTCAATTTGAAAAGCGAACCCCGCTCCCCCGTTG